ACTCAGTCTCTTTCCTTAAAACACATGTTCTGTCAAATGGATGAACAACTTGTTCTGCACAATGGCCACATAAATATATCGTGAAAGAAAGACTGTTTGAAAAAGGAGCACAACGGCTGATCATACAAGACAATAAGAAAGCTCTTAATCTCTGGGATGACAACATCGGCAACACAGTGTCCGAGGTAACCACTAAAGACAATGAGTTGGCAGCTACCATAGAAAACAAAGAATTCTTGAAAACCATGAGTCAAGAGCTCTACCAACATGATTCCAACAGTTGGGTAGCACCTCTACCATATCGGACCCAAAGAAAGAGACTACCAAACAACAGCTACATGCAGAATCACGGTTTGTTTCTTTAAATCGCAGTTTGAACCAGAAGCCTGAGATGAAAAAGCACTTTGTGGACTTTATGCAGAAGGTGTTTGAGAGAGATCATGCTGAGACTGCACCTCCTCTTACGGAAGGAGAAGAATGTTGGTATCTACCATGCTTTGGGGTCTACCATCCTCGCAAGCCTGATCAGATTAGGGTGGTCTTTGACTCAAGTGCTCGTCATGAAGGTGTCTCCCTCAATGACAATCTTCTCACTGGGCCTAATCTGAACAACAATCTCATAGGAGTTTGACTTCGCTTCAGACAAGAGCCAATTGCTGTTATGGCTGACATTCAGCAGATGTTCCACTGTTTCATCGTCTGCGAAGACTACAGAAACTTCCTCAGGTTCCGATGGGACCGCAATAATGATGCCAACGATGAAGTCATAGACTATCGAATGAAGGCAAATGTTTTTGGTAACAGTCCTTCTCCTGCAGTAGCAATTTATGGACTGAGGAAAACAGCTCAAGAGGGTGAGAAAGAATTTGGATCTGATGCAAGACAGTTCATCGAAAGGAATTTCTAGGTAGACGACGGACTCAAATCTCTGCCCAATGAAGAAGAAGCTACTGACCTTCTTACTAGAACCCAGAACATGCTTGCCACTGCAAACCTCAGACTTCACAAAATCATCTCTAACAGTGACAAGGTCATGATAGCCTTTCCTTCTGATGACCATACGGTCAGTGTGAAGAAATTCCAACTAGAATCTGACCTGTTACGCAATGCAGTCTTGGATTGCTTTGGAATGTTAAACAAGACACATTCACATTTCAAGCATCAGCCTGTGACCAGCCCTTCACAAAGTGAGGAGTATTGTCTACAGTGAACAGCATTTACGATCCCTAGGTTTCATTACATCTCTCACCATTTAGGGTAGGATACTGCTGAGACAACTTACTTCTGAAAGCTCAGACTGGGATACGCCCTTACCCAAGGAGAAACAACAAAGGTGGGAATCCTGGAAACAGTCTCTAAAAGAATTAGAACAACTGAGCTCTTAGTATTCCCCCCACCCCATTAATAACAGGATTACTAGGTGTAATCCTAGACTCTCATCTGTCCTTTCAGTCCCAAATCCAATCACTGTCCAAATCTTGTAGACTTCACCTCCGCAACAGCTCCAACCTCCACAACATCTCCAAGATACGACTGTTCCTAACCACGAAAACCACTAAGCAACTTATTCACTCCCTTGTTATATCTCGCCTTGACTACTGTAACTCCTCCTCATTGGCCGACCTCATCGCAGGCTATCCCCTCTTCAGTCTATCATGAATGCTGCTGCCAGACTTATCCACCTTACTAACCATTCTGTATCTGCCACCCCTCTCTGCCAATCCCTCCACTGGCCTCCATTCAGTGTCCTCCACCCCTCTCTGCCAATCCCTCCACTGGCCTCCATTCAGTGTCCTCCATCCTCTCTGCCAATCCCTCCACTGGCCTCCATTCAGTGTCCTCCATCCTTCTCTGCCAATCCCTCCACTGGCTCCCAGTTGCCCAACGGATAAAATTCAAAACATTAACAATAACATATAAAGCCATTTATAACTCCGCCCCAAATTACATCACCGGTCTTGTCTCCAAATATCACCCAAACCATCCTCTCCACTCCTCTCATGACCTCCTGCTCTCTAGCTCCCTTGTCTCCTCCTCCCATGCTCGTCTCTAGACTTCTCCAGAGCTTCTCCCATCCTCTGGAACTCTCTACCCCAATTTATCAGACTACTGCCTACTCTGCTCACTTTTAGGCGATCTCTGAAAACCTCTCTCTTTAGGGAAGCCTATTCTGCCCTCAGCTAATAATGGAATCCTCTACTCTTCCACCCAGTCCATCCCCCACAATTACTACCTTTTGTACCACTAGCCCCTCCCCAAGAATATGTGTTGGGGTGGTATTTGGATATCAGGTAGGTGATGTAATTTGGGGCAGTATTATGGACAGCTTTGTACGTCAGTGTAAGCATTTTGAATTGGATCCGTTGGGCAATCGGAAGCCAGTGGAGGGATTGGCAGAGGGGGGTGGTGGAGTGGTTGGTAAGGTGTATGAGGAGATGACCAGAGACTGCAGACAGAGCACAGGAGATGACCAGAGATTGCAGACACAGCACAGGAGATGACCAGAGACTGCAGACATACTACAGGAGATGACCAGAGACTGCAGACATACTACAGGAGATGACCGGAGACTGCAGACATACTACAGGAGATGACCACAGACTGCAGACACAGCACAGGAGATGACCACAGACTGCAGACAAACTACAGGAGATGACCAGAGACTGCAGACATACTATGGGAGATGACCACAGACTGCAGACATACTACAGGAGATGACCACAGACTGCAGACATACTACAGGAGATGACCGGAGACTGCAGACATAGTACGGGAGACGACCGGAGACTGCAGACATAGTACGGGAGACGGCCAGAGACTGCGGACACAGTGCAGGAGACGACCGGAGACTGCGGACACAGTGCAGGAGACGACCGGAGACTGCGGACACAGTGCAGGAGACGACCGGAGACTGCGGACACAGTACAGGAGATAAGACCAGAGACTGCGGACACAGTACAGGAGATGGTCAGAGACTGCGGACACAGTACAGGAGATGGTCAGAGACTGCGGACACAGTACAGGAGATGGTCAGAGACTGCAGACACAGTACAGGAGATGGTCAGAGACTGCAGACACAGTACAGGAGATGACCAGAGACTGCGGACACAGTACAGGAGATGACCAGAGACTGCGGACACAGTACAGGAGATGGTCAGAGACTGCAGACACAGTACAGGGGAGATGACCAGAGACTGCGGACACAGTACAGGAGATGACCAGAGACTGCGGACACAGTACAGGAGATGACCAGAGACTGCGGACACAGTACAGGAGATGACCAGAGACTGCGGACACAGTACAGGAGATGACCAGAGACTGCGGACACAGTACAGGAGATGACCAGAGAGACTGCGGACACAGTACAGGAGATGACCAGAGACTGCGGACATAGTACAGGAGATGACCAGAGACTGCGGACATAGTACAGGAGATGACCAGAGACTGCGGACACAGTAAAGAAGATGATCAGAGACTGCAGACCTTTGGGGGAGCGGGGGGGGGGGGTTGGGGAGCGGGTGCCATCTCCCACTTCCGCTGTGATTTCCTAGGCGATCGGAAGCGGACAGTTGTCCTTCCCCCCCGTAGTGGGACATGTGACAGGTCCAAGAAGACTACGGGGCCATTGACAAAAAGAGCAGTGCTTTTCACACATGTGCAGCGGGCAGCCGGCTGTGAAGACACATGATGTCACATCCGGGTGTCCACAATAAGAATGCCGGCGCCGGGGAGAGAAGACGGCAGTTTGAAACCAGCGGTGATGAGGACACCGCTGGACCGAGGAGAAGCATCAGCTGTACAGATGAACCAAGTGGCCGGCCCGGGTATTCTAATGCAGCAACGGGAGGGAGGGGGGGGGGGATACAGGCCGGCCGGCCGCTCCATAATTTACTAAATAAGTGAAAAATACGGAACTTACAATTTCTAAACAAATGTATTTCTTAGTTCTGGGGTAAAAAAACTTAGTAAATAAAATAATCTTTCTTTCATAAATTTTACACCAAAACAGATTCTGCGATATTTGGTAAAATCACCCAAATCAGGGTATTTATTCTGTGTTAAAGTCATAGAGACTACAGACCATGGGATGGATCTGGGAATGGATCAGTCCTGATGTACTGACGGTCCATCTCATTTCTTGGGGCCCTAAAATGTCAGGACGGCACAAATCCCCCCAAATGTCAGGACGGCACAAATCCCCCCAAATGTCAGGATGGCACAAATCCCCCCCAAATGTCAGGACGGCACAAATCCCCCCAAATGTCAGGGACGGTACAAATCCCCCCAAATGTCAGGACGGTACAAATCCCCCCAAATGTCAGGACGGCACAAATCCCCCCCAAATGTCCAGGATGGTACAAATCCCCCAAAATGTCAGGACAATACAAATCCCCCAAAATGTCAGGACGGTACAAATCCCCCCCAAATGTCAGGAAATGTACAAATCCCCCCCAAATGTTTAAGGACGGTACAAATCCCCCCAAATGTAAGGACGGTACAAATCCCCCAAATGTCAGGACGGTACAAATCCCCCCCAAATGTCAGGGACGGTACAAATCCCCCCAAATGTCAGGACGGCACAAATCCCCCCCAAATGTCAGGACGGTTACAAATCCCCCCAAAATGTCAGGACGGTACAAAATCCCCCCAAAATGTCAGGGCGTACGGGATGGAACTGGCGGGAAATTGTAACTGTAACTGGTGTGGGGGGTGATAAAACAGGGGTATGACAGTGATGGGTATATACAGGAGAGGAGTGAGGGGGGTATGACAGTGATGGGTATGTTACAGGAGAGGAGTGAGGGGGGTATGACAGTGATGGGTATATACAGGAGAGGAGTACGGAGGTATGACAGTGATCGGTATGTACAGGAGAGGAGTGAGGGGGGTATTATGACAGTGATGGGTATGTACAGGAGAGGAGTACAGAGGTATGACAGTGAGGGGTATGTACAGGAGAGGAGGAGTGTGGAGGTATGACAGTGATCGGTATGTACAGGAGAGGAGTGTGGAGGTATGACAGTGATGGGTATGTACAGGAGAGGAGTACGGAGGTATGACAGTGATGGGTATGTACAGGAGAGGAGTACGGAGGTAATGACAGTGATGGGTATGTACAGGAGAGGAGTACGGAGGTATGACAGTGATTGGTATGTACAGGAGAGGAGTGTGGAGGTATGACAGTGATGGGTTATGTACAGGAGAGGAGTGTGGGGGGTATGAGAGTGATGGGTATGTACAGCAGAGGAGTACGGAGGTATTACAGTGATGGGTATGTAAACAGGAGAGGAGTACGGAGGTATGACAGTGATGGGTATGTACAGGAGAGGAGTACGGAGGTATGACAGTGATCGGTATGTACAGGAGAGGAGTGTGGAGGTATGACAGTGATGGGTATGTACAGGAGAGGAGTGTGGAGGTATGACAGTGATCGGTGTGTACAGGAGAGGAGTACGGAGGTATGAACAGTGATGGGTATATGTACAGGAGAGGATGGTGTGGAGGTATGACAGTGAAGGGTATGTACAGGAGAGGAGTGTGGAGGTATGACAGTGAAGGGTATGTACAGGAGAGGAGTGTGGAGGTATGACAGTGATGAGTAAGTACAGGAGAGGTAGTGTGGAGGTATGACAGTGATGGGTATGTACAGGAGAGGAGTACGGAGGTATGACAGTGATGGGTATGTACAGGAGAGGAGTGTGTAAGGGGTATGAGAGTGATGGGTATGTACAGCAGAGGAGTACGGAGGTATTACAGTGATGGGTATGTACAGGAGAGGAGTACGGAGGTATGACAGTGATCGGTATGTACAGGAGAGGAGTACGGAGGTATGACAGTGATCGGTATGTACAGGAGAGGAGTAACGGAGGTTATGACAGTGATGGGTATGTACAGGAGAGGAGTACGGAGGATATGACAGTGATGGGTATGTACAGGAGAGGGTACGGAGGTATGACAGTGATCGGTATGTACAGGAGAGGAGTACGGAGGGATGACAGTGATGGGTATGTACAGGAGAGGAGTACGGAGGTATTAACAGTGATGGGTATGTACAGGAGAGGAGTACGGTGGTATGACAGTGATGGGTATGTACAGGAGAGGAGTACGGAGGTATGACCGTTCCCAGGGAGAGTATCTCAGGAAGGGTTCCTATACTTCCACCATTAACTCTGGTTCTCGGAGTGTCAGGTCCCAGCGGGTTCTCCTTGGTGTCTCTCCTGTTATTCTGTCTCGGGAACACATCAGAGGAACATGGTGGGAGATCGGCCTGGAATGTCCCTTCCTAGGAAGGAATACCGGAGCCATTCTGAGGCCCATTTAATGGCCGGCAATGAGGAGGAAACCAACACTGAGAAGTAGAAATGCTGAGATATATACAGCACGGGGCAGCACATAGTGGCTGAGTGGTTAGCAACACTTCCACCTGGCAGTACTCGGGTTGTTGGTTCAAATCCCAACCATGGCACCACCTGCCTGGAGTTTGCATGTTCTCCCTGTTGGCCTGCGTTTAGGGTTTCCTCCTACACTACAAAGACATGCTGGGAGGTGAATTGTCTCCATAAATTGTCCCTAGTATGTGTATGTATGAATGTGAGTTAGGGCCCTTAGATTGTACGCTCCTCGGGGGGCGGGGACTGATTGGGAATGTACAATATAGATGTAAACTGACGGCGCTATATAAGTACCTGGAATAAATAATATAATAATACACCCAGATCATCGATGACGAGGAGGAAAGGTTCGGTCACAGATGATTGGTCCGTTCTATAGCAGGGACAGGAGCCGGGACAGGAATAGGGAGAATCCACCTGACTTACCCGTGTGCTCTGACATGGAGAAGATCCCATTGCTACTGGCCCTATGGTGGCCGTGTGTTCAGGATGGAGGCCGACAATCACAGGACCTTCTAGAAGCCGATCTAAAATGGCTGAAAGTGTTCCTGGGACAGGGAAGTGATACAGGACAGGAAGTGGACACCAGACAGGAAGTGACACAAACAGGAAGTGACTCTGCACAGATTTATACAGAGGGCTGCAGTATGCAGAGCAGACACTAGATGGTGCTGGGTCCAAAAAAAGCTGAATAGTATAAAACAACAGAGAAAAAAACTGAAAAAGAAAAGATCGATGGCGGCTCGTAAAACTTCTATTATCACAGTTATCACATTACAGTGGATTAGATCTCCCTTCATTTTGTTGTGTAGACGTTTTTTCCCTCCTCCGGTGGCCATTTTCCCTTAGTCTAATACAATGTTCGCACAGTTAACTCACATTAATACAGTCCAGTGGATTAGATCTCCCTCCTCCATTTTGTTGTTTAGCCCGCCTGTACTCCTCCGGCGGCCATTTTTCCCTTAGTCTGATATGAATGCTGGCACATTTTTGTCCCCTGATATTAGACATTAGCTCGGGTGATTGTATACACACAGCGGGCATGATCTCAATCAATGTTCACCCACTAGTCTATACAGTCACGGGGTTGGCCAGCCAATCATGTGGCGCTCCTATTACTGTCCTTTCCAATGACCATTCCTAGTACATAGGACTCATCTTCCATTACTACATTTCATGATACAACAAGATGGAAACTCCCAATATACAGAGAAAATCTCCCATAAAATACATATAATCACACATCTGCCCTAAAGGGCCATAAACATAAGAAGATTGCCCTCCGAACGCCCCCCTCAGATTCATCTACAATACTAGCCAAGGTGTCCATTGGTCCCCCTAATACACGGATAGTACCCCCAATCTGCTGCATTCATACATGTGACAATACACCATGGATTCCTCCCGCTCGATATTATGTCTCCATACAAATCAGTCGCCATCCAATCCATCCAATCTCACAAAAGCTCCAATACCCAGCACAAATGTTTTCCGTCTCCTCCTAGTAATAACCATTTGTGATCTCCATGAGAATAAAGTGCCAATTTGTGTCCTTATCCCCTCCCCTACGCAGGATGTACACCTTCTCATGGCCACGCCTCTTTATGTAACTGACAATTGTGCGGTCGTGCCAACGCTGCACCCAAACTAAATATCCGTCCTTTCTTCACACAAATAGAGCTTTTCTGTTCGGTGGGATGTCATCACCTGCGCGCTTTTATTTTCACGCCATAAACAAAAAAAGACCAAAACTTTTTAAGAAAAACAATTATTTTGTACTTTCAGCTATAAAATATATAAAGTAACCTCAAAGTTAGTTATATAAATTTCACCAAAAATGTCTCCCGCTCCATGTTTATGGGAAAAGGACCCCAATAAGTGGATATTGATTGCTATGTGTGACCGTTATATCGTCTGCAGACTATGGGGAGATCATGGAATTTATGCCCTTTTTTTTTGCTATACAGCACTGCAACTAGTTTAACTGACAATTGCGCGGTTATGCAATACGATAGATAAATGAAATGTATGTCCTTTTTTCACACAAATAGACCTTTATTTTTTTTTTTTACTGTATTTTGATCACCTGTGTGCTTCTTATTTTTGGCGCTATAAACAAAACAAATTTTGAAAAAAAAAAAACATATTGTGAAAACCATGGAATCACTTTGGGTGGGGGACCCCATGGAACACAGCTCACTTTGGGTGGGAGACCCATGGAACACAGCTCACTTTGGGGTGGGGGACCCATGGAACACAGATCACTTTGGGTGGGGAACCCATGGAATCACAGCTCACTTTAGGTGGGGGGCCCATGGAAAACACAGCTCACTTTAGGTGGGGGGCCCATGGAACACAGCTCCACTTTGGGTGGGGTACCCATGGAACACAGCTCACTTATAGGGTGGGGAACCCATGGAACACAGATCACTTTTGGGTGGGGAACCCATGGAAACACAGCTCACTTTAGGTGGGGGCCCATGGAACACACAGCTCACTTTAGGTGGGGGGGGCCCATGGAACACAGCTCACTTTTGGGTGGAGAGTAGGTACCCATGAACCTGAACACAGCTCACTTTGGTGGGGGGGCCCATGGAACACAGCTCACTATTGGAGAGGTAGGGAGACCGCATGTCTCAAGCTCCCCATATCCCTCTCATGTGTAAGTTCTCCCTGTGCCTGTTAGGGGTACAGGGGTGATCTGTCCCGCAATACTGGGGTGGGGGTTGTGGATTGTTAATGCCATGTGACTACATCCCCATTGTTTTATTGTGTGGTCTTGCTTGGTTAGCAACTAACTATTATGGATGTCTGATTGTGTTTATGTGTATACAGCTTGGTGGGGGGGGGGGGGTGTCCTCCAGCCAGCCCTCCCTCCTGATGGGACCATCAGCTGTAGTGTGAACTTTGAATACCTGTGTGTCTCCTTGCTGGTGCTAGATTGCCCCGCCACTGTGTCATTATGACAGGAGGGGGGCTGCCCCTGAGTGTATATATCAACACGTATCTGTGTGCAAATAAAGAAGTCTACTCTGATTTACTTCAAGACTGGTGTCTGTTGTCGGTGTTCGGGATGGGGAAGCTGTATTCTAATGGAAAATAGCCAAGTGCAGTCAGGGTCGGTTCCGTTTATAAATTAAATGTAGGAGGAAGGGGTAATACAATGTATGGGGGGGGTAATACAGTGTAGGTGGAGGAGTAATACAATGTGTGGGGGGAGGGGTAATACAATGTATTGGGGGGGAGGGGTAATACAATGTACAGTGAAGGAAATGCGTATTTTCTCCCTGCTGATTGCTGAATGTTCGCCCCTCACAAAGAAATGATCGGTCTAAAAAAATGAATGATCGTTGTGGCGTAGGGGCGGGACTGACAACTCATGGGCCCCTCGGCAATAGGGGATCACGGGGCTCCTGTGTCCTTGCCCACACTCAATAATAGCCTATTTAAAAAGGTACCTATAAAGGGCATCTCATGGGGCCCCCTACTGACCCCGGGTCCCTCGGGCATACCCAAGTGCTCGAATGGTCAGTCCACCCCTGATTCGCGTTGTGCTATTGTAACCCTGAGAGACAGAATAGCCACAAAGAAATTCAGGGAGAAATGCGTCTAACAAATGAGATGACTGATCTGCATGTTATATGAGGGAAAGAAGGATTTGATCCCCTTCACAAAACATGACTTGGTACTTGGTGGCAAATCCCTTGTTGGCAATCACAGAGGTCAGACGTTTCCCTGGAGTTGGCCCCCAGGTTCACACACAAACTCAGGAGGGATTTTGGCCCCCCACTCCTTCTCTTGGCAGACATCCTCTCCAAGTCATTAAGGTTTGGTGGCTTGACATTTGGCAACTCAAACACTTCAGCTCCCTCCACAGATTATCAATCTGATGAAGGTCTGGAGACTGGCTAGGCCACTCCAGGACCTTAATGTGCTTCTTCTTGAGCCGCTCCTTTTGTTGCCTTGGCCGTGTGTTTTGGGTTTATTGTCATGCTGGAACACCCATCCACCACCCTATTATCAATGCCCTGGCTGA